AAGACAACTTGAAGATCCAGGTGAGTTATGTCTAACATGAAGTGCACAGGTATAAACTGTAAGTGTGGGAGAGAGAGGTTGCACAGCAACAATTTCTACAATGCTTAATTCAAGTTACTTCACTATTAGTTCCTCACTTAAGCTCTAAAGAGCTGATTTTGCTTTGGCTTTCTTTAGCTAACTTGCCAAACAAAATCACCGGATCTGCAGAAAGCTGGGTGCCTGAACACTGAGTTCAATGACAAGATTCTGGCTCAGGTCAAAACTGAGACCCTTTCAGTCTTTCCATGGTGCCTGGAGGTAGCTTTCTTGCATACAGCTCATGCCAAAAAATACTGCATCACATGCACCACACAGCATACATTCTTAAAAGCCAGCTCCAGGCTTAATGTGTAATACAGCAGCAAGCCTTACATGAAGGAAGAACAAAGCATCTAAATAACAATCAATCTGGGAATGAGCTCAGGAAATGGGACACTGCTTTCCTGGCTGCAACCAATACATGTTTGGAGGAAACCAAACTCAATGGCAGGGAAACAACTGCATAAACATGTCCTGGGTAAACGTGAGAAAGAGGAAGCAGGGAAAAGAATGTGAAATGGCACAGAGCCCTCTCCCTTCTTACCTCTTTGCTTGGAAAAGGGTGGCAAAACTTGGAACAAAAATAGCCAGGTTGCACAAACAATGCAAACATGCTATGAAGTTCAGGCTTGCAAGGATGCCTGATGTACTAACTTAAAATCCCACACCACATCCATAAATGTTTCCTAGGTCTGGGTCTCCTCTTCATTGATGTATACAACCTCCCTAATAACTTTTCAGTCCAACCTCTTCACCCCTCTCATATGACGTATTAAACATAAGACTAGGTCCGAGCTAGGTGGCTGCCATCCCTCATCTCTGCCCTTAAAGTTGCAGCAATAACCTTACTATAGAGCATAGATTCATAGTTCATAGTTGGTAGGGTCAGGAAGGGACCTTGTAGATCTTCTAGTCTGACCCCCTGCCCTGGGCAGGAGAGAAAACTGGGCTCAAATAACCCCTGCTAGGTAACGTCAAGCCTCCTCTTAAAGACCCCCAAGGTAGGAGCCAGCACCACTTCCCTTGTAAGTTGGTTCCAGAGCATGTGGCTGAAGGACATTTGAGCACGTGACTGCAGTACACAGCTCCACTGATAGGTTTGTACAATCCACCTCCACATTCCTCAGTGGAAAACCACCTGCCTTACATATGGTATTATCCAATGTGGGTGGTTTCAGTTTTCATAGCAGAACTCATCCACACAGGCTCACAATAGCAGAGCCTCCAGATGCTTAGGTGAACAAGCCTTCACATCTCTGCTCTGGGGACTGGAGTTAGATTTTCATACGAGACTTCACTTTTTCATGTGTTCTGATCATTTTGTGCAGGCAGCTCAAGTAATTTTACATGTGGTGAGGATTCGGAACTCATTCTCCAGAGCTGTCATCCAGAATGGTGAGGACGTTTGAGGAGATGCAACAAAAGTGTAGTGATGAGAAGGGACCTACACAGCCACAGAAATCATTGACCCACTAATGAGCATATATCAGTACTGCTGTCCATTTTTTTTTTTAATTAGGCATGCTCTGAACAGCCTTTTCAAAGCATCAAGATGAAAACCAAGAGTGTTCCAGCCTAGTGTAACCCCTGCCTTCTGTTTTAGACAGACTACAGAAGTGGGCGGATGGTAATAGGATGGGGTTCAATGTAGATAAATGCAGGGTGCTTGCACCTTGGGAGAAGGAATCAACAGCATACATACAAGCTTGGGAGCTCCCCTCTTGTGAGCACAGAGGCGGAAAGGGATCTTGGAGTCATTATTGACTTCAAGATGAACATGAGCCGCCAATGCCAGACGGCAGCCACCAAAGCCAACCACACCTTGTCGGGCATCCAAAGATGCATCTCAAGCTGGTCCAGAGAGGTGATACTCCCCCTCTGCGTGACATTGGTCAGGCCTCAATTGGAGTACTGCGTCCAGTTCTGGGCACCGCACTTTAAGAAGGATGTGGCCTGCCTTGAAAGGGTTCAGAGGAGGGCCACCCGCTTGGCTGGAGGGCAACAGGACAGGCCCTATGAAGAGAGACTGAGGGACCTGAACCTGTTCAGCCTCAGCAAACGGAGGCTGAGGGGGGATTTGGTGGCTGCCTACAAACTCGTTAGGGGAGATCAGCAGCAAATAGAAAGGGCCCTTTTCCGCCCAGCAGCACCTTGGGTGACGAAGAGCAATGGCCAGAAGCTGCTGGAGAATAGGTTCAGGTTAGAGATTAGGAGGCACTATTTCACTGTTAGGGTGGCTAGGATCTGGAACCAACTTCCTAGGGAAGTCGTCCTCGCTCCTACCTTGGGTTAATTCAAAAAGAGGTTGGATGAACACCTGTCTGGGGTTGTATGATCCCAGCGTGTGCTCCTGCCAGTGGCAGGGGGGCAGACTGGATGATCTGTTCAGGTCCCTTCTGACCCCAAACTACTATTGAAAAGGCCTAATTCCAGACTAAGTATGAACATGCAAATGTCATTGATAGACATGCACCGATATATCAGTACTGATCCGACATTGGACCGATGTAAACAAAATTGGCTATATTGGAAATCAGCCCAATGGGGCTGATAATTTGGCTGATAAACACCCGTGCATGCGCACAGCTGCAGCACAGCACTCAGGCAGTGAGAAGCACAGCCTGGCAGCGTGGAGAGCTGCCTCCAGCTGGTAAGTCTGTTGTAGCAGAAGGGAAGGAGCATGGGCGGAGGGCAGATCAGCCCCCTGTGTGGTGAGGAAGGGGGCAGGGGCAGGCGCTGCCCACCCAGGGTAGAGCAAGATGCAGGACGGACCCATGGGGGGGGGGAGCAGCAGGGGTGCTACAGCAAAATTTGGGGTGGCTGTAGCCCCTGCCCTGAATCCAACCCCTGGTGAGAAAAGCCCGGTGCAGTCGGGGCTCCAGCCTGCCCCACGCAGATCCAGGGGCACATGCCCCCCTGGGTTGTGTGCAGTAGCGGGAGCTGTACCCCTCCCAACCCCACTACAAGCTGTGGGTCCATCCCGCACCCCACCCTAGCTGGGCAGCACCTGCCCCTGCCCCCTCCCTCACTGCGGGGGTCATTGATCTGCCCCCCCCAATCCACCACAACGGACTAAGCAGCTGGAGGCAGCTTTCTGTGCTGTATTGGAAATCAGATCGGTATTGGCTGATATGCCTCCTTAAGAAAATTGGATATCGATATTGGCCCCAAAATCTATCAGTGAACCCCCAGTCATTGAAGCTGCCCACATAGACCATGTAGTAGGGGGAAGATGCATGGTATTTCAGCCACTGCTGACTCAATAATCAATCAAACAGCTAATTCATACCCCTCCCAAAGAATCCAAATTATGAAGATTTTAGCCCCAAAATGGCAGAAGTTTTCCAGAAAGCTTTGTGCAAACACCCAGCATTAGTAAGGTGAGATTCTGCAACATGTGCTGCAGCAGACACCATCTATACACTGCAACTTGCACTTTAAATACAGGAGATTAGTTAGACATGGAGATAGCCAGATTCTTCCAAACCTTGGAATACTTCATTTGTTTTTAAAACACTGTGCTTGAGTAACTGAAACCCAGATTCTGTTCCAGTTAGTTAAGGGGCCACAACAGCTTTTAGGATACATGCCATACAGTAGGCTATTTTTAGATCATCCACAAGAAAGGAAAACTCAGACAACCATCAGCATGATCTAAAATGCAGCTTCGCAGCTATTTGGCCAGCACCACAAAAGCAACTCCACCCACACAGTCTCTCTCAGACACAGAGGATCAATAATACTTGCAAAGCACTGCATTAGGTTTCAAGCGTTAAAATAACCTCCATCACGAGGCAGCACTGGGTCTTGCCAGACTACCTCATTATGCACGTCAGCCAGACTATGACTACAGGTCTGCACATGTGAATCAGGGAGGGCTACACTAAACAGCCAAAACAATGCAAGGATTTTCAAAGGGTGGCTGAGATTTTTTTCCACTACTGAGGCAGTTGTTTGCAAGCATTTGAGGAAACAGGAATCAGGGAGGGTAACAGGGACAAGCGACTTTATAGGCACCCACATTGCTAGGGACTTTTGTGCCAAGTGACATGAGCGCGTGACCATTTACAAAGAAAGGAGAGACTGCCCCCATCCCATCCGTCATTCTAAGAAATTTACAAGCAAAGAGCAACATGAAAGATGTCCATTTGTCTATGAGAAGCATGAACATTAAGATTTCCTCTTCCCCATGTGTGTGAAAGCTTCACCTATCACTGGCTCTTGGGCAAAGTACAATTTAATTTTTACAAGTCATACTCTGCCCCTTCTTGGTGTCTGTGTAACATTCTGGACACAGTTCAAGAAGTTTTGAAGAGGGGCCTTGGCACTTTGGGTACTACCATGTTTTTGGATGCCCAGCTTGGCAACCTAGACCTATCTTATTTTCTGTGACACCTGAACATTGTGACCTTATCCAGCTGAAGACAGCTTAAACTGCGCACACAAGATCAGGCACCTCTCCTGCAAGAACGGCTCACTGTCTTCCCCTTCCAGCCATTTCTGTAGCTAGAGGGGGATTGAAATCCATTCTGAGGGAAATCGTTAATTGTTCTGGAATTTAAAAACCCCATTGATGTGTGACAATAATAGGATCAGGATCCTGATTATGAACTGGTGGATGTGCATTTGGCATTAACTAGTGGATTATTTTTCGGGTAAAGCTTTGCAGGGTAGATGGATCTGAAATGTTCTGAAATTTACCCTGGAAGAACTACTCTGCATCCCCAAACACCCATGTGATAGTGACAGGGGGCTGGAACGGATCTACAGGTTTGTTACTGCTGGAGAGTCCTTTCTCCCTGCTTAACCAAATCTGACAGGTGCCACTTGGCATCAAGGGAGAGGAAGTCATTTGGTAGCGAGAGGACACTTAGCAAGTTAGATCACTGTTAGCAAGGTGCAGCATGAAATGCACTTACCAGAGGTGCTCAGCTGGCTGGGTTTGATGGGCACATGGAGCTCTGATTGGCTGGATTGCATGTCTGAGCCTTCATATGGCCCATGTCCTTCCGTTTGGCCTGCAGGAGAAGATGCAATCTCAGCCAACACTTCTAGATCCTTCAAGATAACCTGGAAAGAGGCAGAGATCATATAAGGTGAGCAATGACAATGCAGCACAGAGTTCAGAGGCAACTGCAGATTTATTTTCATTTAAAAAGAATGACAGCCAGCATGTTCAGAAAGGCCAACACTGATTCTATCAGCATGGATGAAGTGGAAGCGGAGAAGACCAGAATTGTTACAATAAAGTTGCTGATCAGATCAGAGTGAAGTTCTAGGCCTAAATGTGAAGGAGACAGCTGAGAAACTGAAGAGGCGAAATCTCTGCTAAGCTGTAGGAGAGCAGATGAACATTTAACCTAGCCCAAACTGTGTATGATGACTAGCACTAGCTCAATCAGAAGTTGCTGCCACTCCATACAAGGGACATCTGGGAAAAGCAAATGTTTTTTCTCCTTAGCTTCACTTAATTGTATTGAACAATTTAGATAAATTGGGCAACTGAACTAGACACTTCCCCCACCTGCAATGGATATTGTGATCTAACCTGAAGACAGCAGGGAGATGAGGGAAACTGGGCTGGGAATTTCCATCTATCCCACAGCCTGTTCATGCAGTTCATCTACTCTTGATATTTTACAGACTGTTTTCATATAAAGAGATTGCAGCCATTCTATCTGCAAAAAAATCTGCCAAGCATGGGCTAAAGCAAAGCTGACTTACTAAGCAAGTGAAACAGCTTCAAGAGCTAGGAACTATAGTACTAATTAACTCCAAAACCTAGTTACTACCTTTTAAAAAGGCTACACTACTTCACTGCTGACAGCCTTCTCACTCCTCCAGAGCTTGACTCCTCCACACATTTTAAATGGACTTCAGGCTGGACAAGGCCGCAACTTAACATTTAAACAGGCCTGAATATTTAAATGACTGCCACAGCATTTTTTCCTATGCAGCTAACCTTCCCGCTCTTTGCTTAGCCACTTTATATCGCCACTGAGTTAATTTGGGAAGTAACCTGGGATGTTATAGAGCCACTCTAGAAAACCGCACTGTCCCAACCAATTTAGTGGATCCTCCCTCATCCAAGAGCTCTCAGCTCTTGATATTGTATCATTCAACATACCAGAGACGTGTAGGGCATGGAAGTGGCCAGCTAAACTAGCCATTGACCAGGACTAGATCTGCTGTAAAGCCAAGCACACTGGTTTTGTGGAGAGAAGATCATGTGCCTTTCCCTCCAAGTGTGGTACTGTGAACACTTGCCACTTCTTTTTGCCAATATTACAAATTATTTGGCAGTTCACTTAAAGCTTCAGCTGCTGAACTCATATGATTAGGCAGGATTTCAATTTTTAAGTTAAAAAGCAACTGCCTAGCATTCATAGCTGTGAGCATGACCCTTAAACTGTTAGAAGATATCCAAAATTGATTTTTAAACAATGATTTAAGCTGCCAGAATGTCTGAATACTTGGGGTTGGTAATCCAATATTGCAAAGAGCTCAAACAAAGTCTCATGCCATCCACCAAGCTCCTATAATCACCACCCAAGCTCTTGATCCCCATTTCACAGTTACAGAAGACTAGGGGATAGGAATCAAGTGACTTGCAGAGTCAGGAAGAGAATGCAATTCCGACTCCCCCTCCCCCCCATTCACACCCTGTGCTCCTTCCTCTTCTTGACCACCCCAGCCCCAGCATCCTGCTACTTTAAAAAAGCCCTGCACTCACTGACAGGATGGCGGTGGGGGGGATCCCTGCTGCCCCCCCACTGCCCCATGCTGCATGGGGGGGCTCTGCCACGAGCCCCCAGAGGCCCCACTGTCAAATCCTGCTGCACTGAAGTGAAGCGTAGTCTACAAAAAGCCAGGCTGAAGCCCTTCCCATTTTAGACTCAAATCCATTCCAAATCATACCCACTGAACAGAACTCAATCGTTCTAAAAACCGTATCGATTGAGCAGACAGAACTCAATTATTCTAAACACCACATATGGCATTGAGCATCCTTCATCCCAAACTCTCACCCTGGGACTTCAGATACTCCTAAATCCATTGGCAGGCATCCTACATACAGGCCTAAGCCCAGAGGTCTTGAGATTTGGATGCCGACAAGACTTGATCTGAGCCAAAAGGCCAAGACTTCCACCTGGGAACAAGTACACACACACACACACACACACACACACTTTTGTCTTTGCTGCCACAGCGCAACCACATAGAGGCTATGGAGAGTTTGAACCTACAGAGACTGGTGCTCAGAGAGCTATGAAAAACAAAAAGCTCCAATACACTTGGGAAGCCCCTGTGTGCACAAACATTGTTAAGTAACTGCCTGCCAGTCCCTGCAGGGGAAGACAAGGAAAACAATCTCTGCAATGCAAAGCAACAACACTGCACAGAAGGAGAGAAGGGGTGGGAGTTCTGTGGTCTAAGTCCCCTAGACTAGAGGGCTGTATTCTCAAAGTGATATAACACTTAACACTGGGACACGGCCATCACTTGAAGCCACTAGTACTCTCTCAGGACATATCTTTGAGGGTGAAACTTTATGCTGTAGTCAATTCAGGAGCAATTCATTTTGGGGACAGAAGACTGATGCAATAACGATCTAATTCGGTCTTCTGGAGTGATTCAAGCAGGGAGAAGTTCTCCTTCCTCCCACCCCACCCCTCATTTTCTCCTGGTTTCGTTGAGTCTTTTTTAGGTTCTTTTCACACACAAAAAATCTTGTTTTTTAAAAAAAAAGAAAGTCAGACACAACACATGGCACTCAGAGTGAGGAGTTCATGACCAAGCTGCTGTGAACATATGAAAGAACAGTGACAGGAAATGAAGTTACAATGTCTAAGACTCTTTAGACTAATGGACTTTGAACCCAGATTGTTTTGGGCACGCTCATGTCCTTCCATCAGGATGTCAGCATGCAAGGCAAGGTTACGGAGACCCGAGAGAGCCCACATTTCTACTACCATTTCAAACCTTCATATTCTATTACAAGCAAGAAAGACAGCAAAAGGTCCTCAATTATGCAACTGAAGTATCTGCATTTAAGTGGCTGTGTTCCACCATACATTCTTCTGCCAGCTATAAATTACAGCCAGGCTCCACGTTATAACTCTAGCAGACAACAGCTAACAAACACAGCCCCTCACAACATTCTTTGGTTTGCAGCAGTAAAGTGATAGAGCGAAAAAAAGGCCAGGTCACAATTCTGCTTAAGTACAGCCATTTCTGCTGCTCTGAGGAAGCCCCTACCTGAGCTGTCTCAACACAACAGGGTTTGGAGTGTGAAGTCACCACACAGCAAGTGAAGTATAAATTCACATTACCTTGGCTCCTCCAAGTTCACTCCTCATGTTGACACTTGTAGTGACAGATCTTGTCCTACCTACTGGGTGTCTGAGTACAAGTCCATTCCATTTCGTCTAGGGACCTAAAAGATCTATTAATGCACCTATTTTTGTAACATGTTCATCAGTCTTAAAACTAAGTAGTGAGAAACGCACACCCACCTTTAGTATGAACAGTTTTTTAGGGACTCTAGCAGAGTGAAACAGACTCTCACTCAGGCACCTAATACGTGGAGTAGCATCCGGCCCTTAGCGTGCAGTACCTGCAACATAACTACATAACTTACTCCACTTCACCCTTACAACAGCTTTCTTCGGAAGATGAGCCCTTTGGTAGGGTCAATTCTAAATGGAGACCATTAATATGCCATAACCAAAGCACAGAGCCAGCATTTTGTCCTTGGCAGGGACAGGTGCTGGCACATGGATGCCCTCCTGTACCCAGTTCCTAGCTGTGGTATATATGGCACCCTTAGCTGTAATATCAGGGCAACTGGTCTTGCCACCTCCTTGCTGCATGGTAAGACAATCCAGAATCCTTGGTGCAAAGTTCTCTGGTTAACCAATCCCCCCTGCTAAGCCTTCAAGTTGGAGGGGGGTGGGGAAGAGGGTGCATGGAGAAAAGAAACAGGTCTGCCTATTCTTCCCTGAGTTTACCAAATCCTGGTTAGGCACCAGCAAAGGTATGGATGAACTAACTCAGTTGACATGCAGTGGGATGAGGTGGTGGGGGAGGGGGGGCGCAAAACTGTAAGCTTTGTTAGCTATACTCCGAAATGAGCCAGGCACCTTAGTGCAAGTCCACACCTGCACCTGCATCAGACGAGGGTCACAAAACACACAGACTTGTGGGATGAGGACCAGTTCCCACAATGAGTGCTGATCCTGACATTTGTTTCTTGCAGTGATACCCCTAGAAGGCACCTTAAGGGCCATTTAGTCTACATCCACCACTGCACCTCCCTTATTAACCTTAGTACTTTATGATCCCTCAGTACCTTATTGTACGAACTATAGTTTATGCCACTTTCTTTCCCAGGCCAACAGTATACAAAGCTGTGATGAGGAAAAGCGTAAGCACATACTAGGATGAATCATAAGAAATGCCGGGATGCCATGAACACTAGTAACACTCTGTACCAACACAGGTGTGATCTCCTTCAGTTCGCACTTAATACAAGAGGAGAGCAACTGTACACCAAAAGGGTTTAACTGGTGTCAAGGCCAGTTAATTTCTGTGTAGGTTGGTGTCAGCCTGGGTAAGGCCAGGGCTAGAACACAGCTGCATTATGTGGCATGACTAAACCATATTGCAACATGGTCCCTACATCACAATGCTTACCCAGAAGGGTTTGTAGGCCAAACAGAATCTTGACCCCTAGGACATAAACCCTGCTTGCTGACCTAGCTTGACTGTCACGCTGCTCAAGCCAACTCTGTTCCAACCTGATTTTACTGGCCAACCCAGACTGGCACAAGTATAATTTAAATTAAGTGCAAATCACTTCAGCCTGGGATAGGAAAGAAGGCTGAAGCTCAGCTCTGAACTAATTCAGATTGTGGGCTGGCTCCCACTCCAAGGCAAATACACTCTTCAACTGAGTCGCTATACCCAAGGTTATAAACCTGGGCCCCTGTCCCAGCTGACAATCACATTCTGCAATGTAGGTAGGTTTCCAGAGTCAGAAACAGACAGGGCCGTGGTCTGAGGTTCAG